TATTTAATTAACTATTTATGATATTTGAATTTAATTGTATTTTATTTAATTATTATTAATAATTTTATTATGATTAATATATTATAAAATTAAATCACTAATTATTTTTATATTTGTTAAATTCATTGTTATATATTCATCAAATCTTCAAAATTATAATTTAAATAAGATATTTTTACTGAAAAATTTTATAATGTAAAATATAAAAATTTTGATAATAAGAAAATACAATATGTAATATTTAACTTAATCTAATTGATTTATATATTTCATATAATTATAATTAAATTGCAATAAATAAATATCTGTAAAATTTAAATATTATTATTAAAATTTTATATAAAAATCAAATTGTGACTATCTAAATTAAGTCTCAAAAATTAGGATCAGATCTTACCAAGACTGAAATCAAAAACTAAGTCCTAAAGTCCTAAATTTAAACTTTTCCATTCTTTATTCTCTGCTATTTTTACAATCTTTATTATCTTATTCACAATTATTATATAAAATTAATCCAATTTTTCTGAAGTACTTAGATCCTAATTTTTATGTATTTTTTAATCTAATAAATAGTTATAAACAGAGTTGGAAAATTTGTATGTACTAGGCAAATTTTGACCTTGTACTTGTACTGTACTGTACTAAATTTTATATTAATTATTATGTGTACTAACTATACTAAGCTGTACTAAGCTGTACTAACTGTACTAATTTCCCAACCCTGGTTATAGACTTATTATAGCATACTTATTTAATAATAAATCTAAAACTAAACTTTAGAATAGCTAGATACTCATGTAAAAAGACAATTTTATATCATTTTTCTAAAAAAAGCTTTATTTTTCAAGTGAAAGTTTGATAATTATCTAAATTTTTTTATATTATTGATACTTATAAATTTATTAGTGATCATATATTATATTATATTATATTTTGAAAAATTTGAGAAATAGTTACATAATAATTTTAAATAATTTTAAGCGATCAAATACTTATGACTGTTACTATATAAGATAAATTAATATAAATATTTCTAATTAAATTAAAAAATTTAATTAAAACTATTTTATTAAGATTTACCTACAATTTAAAAATTCTATAATTTAAAGGTTCTAGAAGTTTTAGATCAATCAGATTGAAAATAAATTCTAAAAAAAAAAGGTAATATTTTTTATTTTTAATTAATTAAAAAATTAAATAATTACTTATCTCTTTCTTTTTTATAAATGTCAAAATCCTTAGATCATTTAAATTAGAGGTAAGTCTTATAAGAAAAAAATAATATTAATTTATTTAAAATTAATTAAAAAAATTAAATAATTACTTATTTTTTTCTTTTTTTTGTAAGTATCAGAAGTCTTAGATAGATCAATCAAAGATGTATCCTATAAAATAAAGTAAAGTTAATAATAAATAAATATTTTTTTTAATTAAATAAATTAAAAAATACTCTTCTTATTCTTTTTGTAAATATTAAGAGCTTTAGATTAATCAAATTAAAAAATGAATTTTATAAGAGAAAGGTATTTTTTTTTATTTTTAATTAATTATAAAATTTAAATGATTACTTACCACTTTTTCTTTTTGTAGATACCAAAAGCCTTAGATCAATCAAATCAAAGGTGAGTCTTATAAAAGAAAGGTAAATTTTTTATTTTTTAATTAATTAAAAAAAAAATATAATAATTATTTACTTTTTTTTCTTTTTATAAGTATTAAAAGCTTTAAATAGATCAAACTAGAGATAAATCTTATGAAAAAATATAAAGTTATTAATAAATATATTTTTTAATTAAATAAATTAGAAACATTTATCTTATCTTTTTTATAAGTATTAAAAGTTATAAATCAATTAGATCAAAAGGTAAATCCTATAGAAAAAAGTAATTTTTATTTTAATTAATTAATAAAATTAAATAATTATACTAATTAAAATAGTTTAAATCAGCTAAAACTCAGATAATCAATTTTAGGCTGATTTTAATATTATTTACAGCTGATTAATAATATTTTCTAATTGTTTATCAATTGTCTAAATCATCATCAATCAATTTCAATCAAACATAGTTAATTTAGAACTTAAATTCAACCATAAATTAGCCTAAAATTGGTCTTAATTTAGAATTAACTTAACATTAATTCAGAATTTAAATTTAATTATAAATCAGCTTAAAATACTACTGATTAACTTTAAGCAGACAAGCAATTCAATTATAAATCAGTATCAATTGATTTCAATTCAGCATTAATTTAAAATTTTAGTTAAATAAATATATAAAATCAGTATATTTTTATTTAAAAAATTTATTAATATTAGAATTTTATTAATAATAAAAATTTAATATAAATTTATAAAATCATAATAAAATATTACTAAAAATCACTAATGAATTTCCTATTAAAAATAGAATAATAAAAATATGATTTTTTTTCTCTTAAAATCTTTTAAAATTTTCCTAAATAAATAAAATAATAAAGTATATGATAAAAATATGATCCATTTTTCCTAAAATTACCTTAAAAAATGTAAAGATAATAAATAAAATAATATAAAAAATAGAAAAATATACTTACATATTCAGTTACTTATAAAATTTTTATGAAAATCATCTAGTTTTATATCTTAGTTAAGACTTAAACTTGTGATTTTTATAGTATAAACTACAAAAGAACTCAGTTCTTATAAATTAAAACATAAGTAAAAATCAATCCTAAATTACTTAAAAAATGCAAACTTAATATTCTATTCTATTAATTTGTTCTAAATTTTTAGTCTTTCAGAATTTTTAGTTTTTTTAATAATATCAAAAATAATAAATAAAATAGAAAATAGAAAAATTAAACCCAAAATCATCTCAAAAAGTAAAAATAATAAAATAATAAAAAATTAGTATTTTTTTATCCTGAAAATCACCTATAAATCTAAATCCAAATAATAATATTAATCTTTTTCTATTTTAAAAATCGTCTTAAAATATAAAGATAATAATAAAATAATAATAAAACTAACCTTTTTTTACTTCAAAAATCATTTAAAAATATAAAAATAAATAATAAAATTGACTTATTCTTATTTTAAATCGTCTGAAAAATGTAAATATAAATAATAAAATAAAAAATGCTAAATTAGATAAGAAAATAATAAATTTTAACAGATTACTAAGAATAATTATATACAGTGATAACGATTTTTAAATGATTTTCTTTATTTATTTTATTAATTTTTAGTAAATAATATTAGCGAATGCTAAACACTCAAAGTTTAAATCAAATATAATTTGTTTATTATTTTGATTAAATAAATAATTTACAGCTTTTATTCATTAAACTGTTTTCTAATAAATAATAAATAATATTAAATTATTGATTAATATAGATCTAAATTTAGAATTTATTTTATTTATTTACATTATATATTTAATTATATTATAAAATCCATTATTATTCTAAATAGTCTTTCTGTTTTTCTTTATTTTTTAAGTTGACTAATATAATTTATAAAGGGATTTAAATTAATTCATCAATTAGTTAACAAAAGGCTGATAATTCAGAATCAAGGTATTTTATAATTTTAAAATTATGATATTTTTCAGTATTTTTCTTACCATTAAAAATTTTATCATAGTTTAAATTATCCTTTATATTGATAGTTTTTAAAACTGCTTTTATTTTAATCTAATATAAAAAGCAAAAAAAAATCAGCTAAAATCTAAAATATTTAAATATTTAAATATAAATTCAAATATATCTTTTTTATATCAGTTTCTTCTGTTATCAAATTATCATCATTCTTAAAATTGTTTTATAATAATTTTAATTTATTATTAGTATAATAAACTGGTTTTTTTCTTTTGATTTTAACAAAGATTTTTTAATTTTCTTCATTTTGTAAGAAAATCAGTATGATTAGGATATTGACATATATTAGCTAATATAATTTTAACTCCTAAGTAAGATGATCATGTGTTTTCAATCATTTGCCTTATTTAGATTCATAAGTTAAAAGTTAATCAAGAAACACAAATGATAAAAAATAAAATTTTAATTTGTAAAATTTTAAATTAAATTTTTTTTATTCTAAATAAAAATTAAAACATTCAACAACGTATTTTCATAAAATTTGAAGTATTGTATTCCTTCAAAAATAAGCACCTCTTTTTTTGCTATATGAGTGCTTATTTTCAGATACTATAAAAATTTGCTAAGATAATAATCTAGAAACTACGTCAAATACTAAAAATGAAGGTCCTAAATCTCATAACTATTGATTGTCTTGTTATACAATACATAAATCTAATAAATTGAGTTACATATGCATACATAAATATATGATAATCTTTTTTCATTTATCTAAAAATATCACAAAAAAATGGTCATAATGCAAACAAAAAATTAAGCCACAAAAAAACAAAAAAAAATTGCTAAACGAAAGTAAACATCATACTCTCTCTCTTAAAAGTCACAAGTTATAGATTATGCAAAGAAGCATAGAAGAAATAATGCTGCTACACATTTTGAATTTAATACCAGCATAATTGGACATTAGATGAAAGTAAGCACAAATTAGTCAAGTGAAATAAGTGAAAATAATAGACAGGTTAGATCTGACTGAAAAGCTTTCTTTTTAGAAGCTGAAAGAAAGCTGTATAATTGAATAATAGAACAAAAAAAGTAGGCTTTTGCAGTGACTTATACAATAATATGATATAGAATGTTGGAAATATTGGAAAAACCTGAAATTTTAGTTCTTTATAATAATGTATTAAAGGATTTTAAAATGTCTCACTATTAGCTAGTTGTATTTTTAAAATAATACAAACTGGCATTACGAAAATATATAAAAATATCCTAAAAACTTCCAATTCAAACTTAATTGCCGATCCATCTAAGATCGGTACCATATGTCAATCATTTTATAATAAAATTTGGAATAATAAACGATAATAAAAAAAGCTGTTTTTTATATCTCGTGTGCATACTATATTTCCACCCATAATATAATGACAAAACAACGCAAAATAAATATTAGTCTTATATCACCAGGTGTGCTTGTTGAAAAATACCATTATAGTTCATATTCTCGCTATTGGTGGCAACCTTTACCTAATTCTGAGGAAATTACAACTTATTTTCCTATTCAAGTGAGCAAACAATTAAAGCAACGCTCAACAATTGTGAATTTATTATTACAGTAGTTATTGGCAATAAAGACAATAATATCTTTTTATCAGGTTATATGTATCAATATAATGAAATTGTAGGAATTGC